AACTGCCATGTGATTGGTTGATTAGATAATTGCATTAATGAGAAATTGAACAGGTGTTCCTAATAATCCTTTAGGTGAGTGTATATGTGTGTGTGTGTGTCTGAGAGAGAGAGAGACAGCGAAAGTGAGAGAATTTAGTGCGCCCAAACTTTGTCTTCAAACGTATGCAAAAATGAAGACGTACACAAAAATGGCAAAGTCTAACTTTCTAAACATATAAGAGACATTAACGCCAAAAAGAGACACTATAAGCATAACAAAGGTGACTAATGTTCAGTTATACCACATATATCAACCTTTAGTTAAACATTAACTAATCATTCACAAAATCTCAATAATACATTTAGCAGCATTTAGTTAATGATGAGCAAATCACTTACAAATTCTTAAGACATCTATAAGCATATAGTTATGGGTTAAGTATGAATCTCTTTGAAACTCCCTCAGCAAAAGCCACACTACTGTTTATGCCATTGGACATAGTTCTGACCATATTACTAAAAGTTGTACCAAAACCAAATTGCTGTAGCACTTGCATGTCCGGACCTAACACTGAGGACACCAAGGTCAAGCCCTCAGTATTTTTTCTGCAACTCCAATAACCACAATTCAATGCGGGTAAAACATTCTAACTCATACATAGCTGCTCAAGCCCTGCTCTGCAGAGAGGTGAGTCAGTCATGCTAGCTGCTGTGCCATATTCATCCAAATCAAGTTTTATAATCCCTAAATCAGGCTACAAACCTTGACGCTGTGATTCACTGTATACAGTAGTTTTGACTTGGAGGACCTGAAACACAAAGAAAGGGAGATACTCTATATGAATTTAGAATTAGAATTTAATGATCAGTGGCCATTGTTGACACACCACAGCACACAGTGCACAACAACTAAAGGTGTCTTCTGCATTTAACCCATATGTGACATCGTGACATAGCAGGGGGCAGCTAATTCAGCACCCGGGGAGCAGTGCTTGGGGGCAATACCTTGCTGGTCGGGGATTCAAACCTGCAATCTTTCAATTACAAGCGCACTTCCCATACCATTAAGCCTCCACTGCCCACAAAATGTGGCAAATTTATGGAGCCCATAAAGTCCCCATTGCCCCAGTCAGTGTCAGCGCAGGAGTAAGAGCTTGACTCACCACAGACTCCCGAAGACCAGAACCCACCTCCTGGACATCAGTACGGCATAAGCTTGGAGTTGGTCCCACTTTTGCAGCTATAACAGCTACTGTAAATAACTCTGGCTAAGCGTGTCTGGCAAATGCAAATGCAATGCAGTAAATGCTCTTCTGGGATGGCTTTCCACAAGATTTTGGAATGTGTCTGTTGGAATTTTTGCCCATTCATGGAGAAGAGCATAGGTGAGGTCAGACACATTACAGCTCGCAATCTCCCTCCTAGTTTATCCCAAAGATGTTTGATGCTGTTATGGGTTAACTTTATGGTGCTGAGTTTATGCTGAATAAAAGCATATGTAACACTTTGGGATAAATGTTTTTTAGAGAGGTGAAATATTTTAAAATGTCAAGGCATGTCAGACTACCCCGAAAGTGGAAAAGAGGCCTCAGACCGCAGAGGGTTAAGATGTGGGAACCAAGCAAGGAGCCGAACACAATAACACAGGCACAAACACACAGTAACAACCACAATCTGACTGAGAAGACAGGGCGAGGACAGGCACACATATAGACGGATAATAAGGGCTATCAAGCGGCAGACAAAGGACAAGGGGCAATGAGGAGCAGGTGAGGTTAATTAACAGATACAGAGAGGTTCAAACAGCAAGGGAAACTAAAACTCGAAAAACGAAACATACGACAAACAGGGAGCAAAGCAATGAATGATACAAAAATACACCAAATGATAACTAACAGGTTATACAAGAAATAAAACATTAATTGTAACATGGATGATACTGACCAGCCTCAAACTCGTGACCATAAAGGGGAGTGTGAATGGCAGCTGCCCACTCAGACTATTAGGCCACACAGCAGCCTGGTGACCAGGGGAACACACTGGGAGCCAAAGACACTGAGATGACCGGCGACATCTGCTGGCTAATAGGGGAACTGACATAACAAGAGGGGCAGGTCAGGGGCCGATCCTGACAAAATGCAGTCTGGCAGGTAACGTTCTCCTCACATCCACCAAACCCAGACTCATCCTTCAGACTGCCAAGACAGAGAAGTGTGATTTGTCACTCCACAGAACACGTTTCCACTGCTCCAGTGCCCAGTTTCGCACAGGAAAACTGTGATGTGAGACATTTCTGAACCTCTAAATCAAGATAGCGGGCTTGACATTTTGGTGATGATTGAGTGCCTTAGATTTCAGGAAAATGCTTTAGGCACAGTGTATTTTATGTTATATTATGTCTTTATATATTGGATAATATATTATATTATATTATATTATGCCTTTTAAATTGCCCCTCGGGGACAAATAAAGTTTTTTGAAATTGAAATTGAAATTGAAATTGAAATATTTATTTATTTTCATTTTTCAACTGCTATTCACTAGACGAAACCACCAGGGGGCGCCTGGAGCCTATTCCAGGCAACATGGAGCACAAGCCAGGGGTAGAGTCACGGATAGAATGCCAGTTAATCACAAGGCACATACTTGTACTGGCCACACACACAATCACAAACTGGGCAATTCAGAGACCTCCCACAATACCAAGATTATTTTATCTTATCTGATTATTTATTTTATTTGTGGATCTGCCTAAAATGCTTTTAATGTGAATGTTACCATGGATCTGCTGAGATAGAGTGATGCTGAATTGCTGGACACTGCAGGTATCAGAGCTGAGCTCTGGCCTCCCCTAAGGACACATACAGATGGGAGACACCATCCAAACCTGATGTGTTTCTTTACAGGACCCAACCTTAAAGTGCTGAGCACAATGTCTGTGGGATTTGATCACATCTCTCTGGACGAGATAAAGAGGAGGTCTGTGGAGATGGTGCTTCTCTATCCCAGCCTGCGTCAGTGAAGTTTTGGGTTAGATGTCAGAGGGCTTCACTCAATGCTCATATCCCTGCAGGGGACTCCGTCTGGGCCACACGCCGGATGTCCTGACTGATGCGGTGGCAGAACTCACCATAGCCCTGCTGCTGACCACGTCCCGGCGTCTTGTAGAGGCCACCCATGAGGCTGAAACAGGGCAGTGGGCAGTGGTGGCTTAATGGTTTGGGAAGTGCATTTGTAATTAGAAGATTATAGGTTCAAATCCCCGACCAGTGTGGTTCCACTGAGGTACCCTGAGCAAGGTACCGCCCCCAAGCACTGCTCCCTGGGCGCTGAATTAGCTGCCCCCTGCTGTGTCACATATTGGTTAAATGCAGAGGACACATTTGGTTGTTGAGGTGTGTCAGCAATGACAATTAATCACAAAAAAAAAAACATGGGTGACACTGCCTGTACTCATTCCCTGCCCTTTCTTCACGCACCGCAAGACTGACGAAAAGCCTTTTCCCTCAGGCAATCAGACTCTTGAACAATGCTAAAAGCTCAAGTTAATCTGACCTCATATTCATATCCAACTGCTACTGTACGTCATTTACAGTAGCACTGTGCACTTTATCGAGTGATTCTTATATTTTTATATATTTTTAAATTTATTCTATTTTTGTATCCCTTTCGAAGGTTGAGCAAGCAAAGTAAGCAAAGTATTACATGGTTCTAACATGTACATGTTTTTTTACTGTGCATATGACAATAAACTTCTTGAATTAAGTAACACAACCGGTAAGCCCAGTAAGGATGCCGTGTTGTCACACCCGGCCTGAGTTTGTAGTTGTGGTGACGATCCCAGGCTGGATCTCAAAGTCCTTTATTGGGCAGGATTCGTAGGAACCTCAGCCTATTGGGCAGGATCAGTAGAAGCCTATTGTAGCAAAGCTGTTATTTTGACATTGCATAAGCCTGAACTTGCTGTCTGATGTATATTACAGTACTGTACTGTACAGTACTGTCTGATATATATTACAGTACTGTACTGTACAGCGCTGTCTGATATATATTACAGTACTGTACTGTACAGCGCTGTCTGATATATATTACAGTACTGTACAGCGCTGTCTGATGTATATTACAGTACTGTACTGTACAGCGCTGTCTGATATATATTACAGTACTGTACAGCGCTGTCTGATGTATATTACAGTACTGTACTGTACAGCGCTGTCTGATATATATTACAGTACT